AACATCAGTAGACTTGTAACATCAGTAGACTTGTTACATCAGTAGACTTGTAACATCAGTAGACTTGTAACATCAGTAGACTTGTAACATCAGTAGACCTGTAACATCAGTAGACCTGTAACATCAGTAGACTTGTAACATCAGTAGACTTGTAACATCAGTAGACTTGTAACATCAGTAGACTTGTAACATCAGTAGACTTGTAACATCAGTAGACCTGTAACATCAGTAGACTTGTAACATCAGTAGACTTGTAACATCAGTAGACTTGTAACATCAGTAGACTTGTTACATCAGTAGACTTGTTAACATCAGTAGACTTGTAACATCAGTAGACTTGTAACATCAGTAGACTTGTAACATCAGTAGACTTGTAACATCAGTAGACTTGTAACATCAGTAGACTTGTAACATCAGTAGACCTGTAACATCAGTAGACTTGTAACATCAGTAGACTTGTAACATCAGTAGACTTGTAACATCAGTAGACATCAGTAGACTTGTTACATCAGTAGACTTGTAACATCAGTAGACTTGTAACATCAGTAACATCAGTAGACTTGTCAGTAGACTTGTAACATCAGTAGACTCAGTAGACTTGTAACATCAGTAGACTTGTAACATCAGTAGACCTGTAACATCAGTAGACTGTAACATCAGTAGACCTGTAACATCAGTAGATTTGTAACATCAGTAGACTTGTAACATCAGTAGACCTGTAACATCAGTAGACTTGTAACATCAGTAGACCTGTAACATCAGTAGACCTGTAACATCAGTAGACCTGTAACATCAGTAGACTTGTAACATCAGTAGACTTGCTACATCAGTAGACTTGTAACATCAGTAGATTTGTAACATCAGTAGATTGACTTGGAACATCAGTAGATTTGTAACATCAGTAGATTGACTTGGAACATCAGTAGACCTGTAACATCAGTAGACTTGTAACATCAGTAGACTTGTAACATCAGTAGACTTGTAACATCAGTAGACAACCATACAGTGGTAGTGAAGAACCAACAAACCCGTGAAGATCCGGGTTAGAAGTGATCTTCTGCAACCCATGTTAGAAATATTCCAGCTATATGGCGGCGGTCTGTAAATAATCGAGTCTGGACCAGACAATCCAGCGATCAACATGAACATCGGTCTGCGCAATTGGGATACGATGACACGTGTCAGTCAAGTCAGCGAGCCTGACCACCCGATCCCGCAGTCGCCTTCCACGACATGCATGGGTTACTGAAGACCAATTCCAACCCGGATCTTCACGGGTCGTTAAATCATGTCAGATCTAAATACCGATATAGGAATCGAACCCATACTTCTGGGAGCTTCTCACACGTTTTTAATTACAACGTACTTCGTATTGAAGACCCCTCGTGCAGAGCGTGTTTGCCACTTGAAACTCAATCGAACATTTGCGCCCTGGAGAATCCCGGGTAAATATATTGCCTGTCATGTGACGATAGATGGATGTGTGGCACATGATCCTTGTGCAAAACGAGTTGGGAAGATTCCTCGGCCCACAAATAATGGACATTGAATCATGTTGAACACGGACGCGAATATCCCGGGGGAAGATCAAATTCCTCAACCTATCCTCATTTAACGTTACACTATTGGTCTTGGACAACGTGGTACTTCCCAGTGTGTGGAAAGCTGGTTGAATACTGAAGGGCTCCTCTAACGACCTAGTTGACACAACTTATTGATGACCGTTTGAGCTAGCATCCTTAGCTTGTCTTTCGTTAACTAGAATGCTTGTAGAACTCCCCCTGGTCTATAGTGAGCCGCGCTGTGGGCTGTTTCTATCGTAAATCAGTGTTAAAGATTTATTAAATGTCTCCTTCGTTTACCGTCATGGTTTCTTGTCACGATGTTCAACAGAAACTGTATACTTTGAGTGCATTCCATGGCCGCCACCCGAGATGCTTGTGTGAACTACATGGTGACTACAGGGTGAGGTAGAGGCAAGGCACCCACTCCATGCCCGCCATCCGAGATGCTTGTGTGAACTACATGGCGACTACAGGGTGAGGTAGAGGCAAGGCACCCATTCCATGCCCGCCACCCGAGATGTTTGTGTGAACTACATGGTGACTACAGGGTGAGGTAGAGGCAAGGCACCCACTCCATGCCCGCCACCCGAGATGCTTGTGTGAACTACATGGTGACTACAGGATGAGGTAGAGGCAAGGTACCCACTCCATGGCCGCCACCCGAGATGCTTGTGTTGAACTACATGGTGACTACAGGGTGAGGTAGAGGTAAGGTACCCATTCCACGGCTGCCACCCGAGATGCTTGTGTGAACTACATGGTGACTACAGGGTGAGGTAGAGGCAAGGTACCCATTCCATGGCCGCCACCCGAGATGCTTGTGTGAACTACATGGCGACTACAGGGTGAGGTAGAGGCAAGGTACCCATTCCATGCCCGCCACCCGACGTTACCAACGTCCCAGACAGAGACTCGGCCGGACTGTTGTATCCTAGTTCTGTGATGACTGTCAGTCAAAACATGGATGACACAAAACAGTAACTATGTGGGAGATATCTCGCTCAACCAGATGCATGTGTACACCGCCAAACCCTTGCCTCCCATTCTCTCCATGCGTGCACGTTGCAAACATTTGAGACTAACACTTAACAACATGTTATGTTCCTTTACGAAGAACAAAAAACGCCGAGTAAAGTCAGACTTCATTGACAGCTCCAGGCAGGTATCAAAAATCTTCTTTTTGAACACGAAAAAAGACGAGAATGTGTTTTTTCCGCAGAGAAAGTCACGTAAAGCGCGCACATCGCAGAACAGTAAGATCTGATCAGAGCTCACCTCTCTTGTCGTAGGAGATCAGGAAGGCTGAGGATCCGTACCCAGAACACAGAACCGCTCGTAGACTAATGCTTAGTCTCTGAATATATATAATTTCGATAATAACACACAAGCCCATTTATATTGAAAAGGAGCCCAAGGGAGACCAGAGATTCCTGAACCTGAGGAAATCTAGACTTGCTTTATTTAGGGCTTTAGCACCGCAGAGAGGGCTTGGCAGTAGGGAAAATAATGTGGTTCAGGGACTGTGAGACAGACTAAACCGCTCGATGAATACAAATGTAGACTTATTTTCAGCAAGCGATATGTTCCAGATCAGCTTTGTTTTGTTGGAAGGTTTGCCCCAAGGATGTATACATACACAAGCACTTTCAACGTGGAAGAGTTGGTTTTCTATCAAAGACGAATGAGAAGAAAATTATCTTACATAATTTCTGCTTTTCTCATGATTGGCCTTTCACAGTAATGGCTGATTTGAAATAAAGATCGACAGTCAACTTGGTGAGACAATTTAAATTATCAGATGGCGACGGTGAATGGTAGGAGCGCATCAAGCGGCTTAGGCAAGATTAGTTTTGTCGTACAGACCCTGAAGCAAATATATCCAAAAAAGCCCACGCAAGTCTAGAAAATGTGACAAGTCTAGATTCCTCAGCTTCAGGACATGAAGAAAGTCTCAGGGCTCCTATTCATTATATATATAATTATTTTGCTATGAACTTTTTTTCAGTAAAATATGTTCATTTCAGAGACTAGTTGTTAGTCTAACGTTAGATTTAACCTGTAGGCAACGTGTGACTACTTCAACACTAGTTTGTACTGCTGTATCCAGGGTACCCTCAACTCCAGGATACCCTGAACTCCAGGATACCCTTAACTCCAGGATAGCCCCAATTCCAGGATACCCTCAATTCCAGGATACCCCCATCTCCAGGATACCCTCAACTTCATGTTACCTCAACTCCAGGATACCCTTAACTCCAGGATACCCTTAACTCCAGGATAACCCCATCTCCAGGATACCCTCAATTCCAGGATACCCCCATCTCCAGGATACCCTCAACTTCAGAATAGCCCCAACTCCAGGATACCTCCAACCCCAGGATACTCTCAACTCCACGATACCACAAACTCCAGGATACACCCATGTCCAGGATACCCTCTACTCCAAGATACCTTCAACTCCAGGATACCCTCAACTCCATGTTACCCTCAACGTCATGTTACCCTCAAGTACAGGATACCATGAACTCCAGGAAACCCCTAACTATAGGATACCCTTAACTCCAGGATACCCCCAACTCCATGGCCAGGATACCATCAACTATAGAATACCCTCTACTCCAGGATACCCTCACTTTCAGGATACCCTCTACTCCAGTATACCTTCAACTCCAGGATCCCCTCAACTCCATGTTACCCTCAACTTCATGTTACCCTCAACTCCAGGATACCCTCAATGCCAGGATACCCTATACTCCAGGACACCCCTAACTATAGGATAACCCCAACCCGAGGATACCCCTAACTCAAGAATACCCTCAACTCGAGGATACCCCTAACTCCAGGATACCCCTAACTCCAGGATGCCCTCAACTCCAGGATACCCTAACTCCAGGATACCCCCAACCCCAGGATACCCTCAACTCCAGGATACCCTCAACTCCAGGATACCCTCAACTCCAGGATAACCCAACCCCAGGATACCCTCAACTCCAGGATACCCTCAACTCCAGGATACTCCCATCTCCAGGATACCCTCAACTTCAGAATAGCCCTCAACTCCATGATATACCCATGTCCAGGATACCCTCTACTCCAAGATACCTTCAACTCCAGGATACCCCCAACTCCATGGCCAGGATACCACCAACTACAGAATACCCTCTACTCCAGGATACCCCTAACTCCAGGATGCCCTCAACTCCTGGATACCCTAACTCCAGGATAACCCCAACCCCAGGATACCCTCAACTCCCCCATCTCCAGGATACCCCCATCTCCAGGATACCCTCAACTCCAGGATACCCCCATCTCCAGGATACCCTCAACTTCAGAATAGCCCCAACTCCATGATACCTCCAACCCCAGGATACCCTCAACTCCAGGATACCACAAACTCCAGGATACCCACATCTCCAGGATACCCTTATCTCCAGGATGCCCTCAACTCCAGGATACACCCATCTCCAGGATACCCTCTACTTCAAGATACCTTCAACTCCAGGATACCCTCAACTCCATGTTACCCTCAACTTCATGTTACCCTCAAGTACAGGATACCATGAACTCCAGGAAACCCCTAACTATAGGATACCCCCAACTCAAGGATACCCTCAACTCCAGGATACCCCCAACTCCATGGCCAGGATACCCCCAACTACAGAATACCCTCTACTCCAGTATACCTTCAACTCCAGGATCCCCTCAACTCCATGTTACCCTCAACGTCATGTTACCCTCAACTCCAGGATACCCTCAATCCCAGGATACCCTCAACTCCAGGACACCCCTAACTATAGGATAACCCCAACCCGAGGATACCCCTAACTCCAGGATACCCCCAACCCCATGAAACCCTCAACTCCAGGATACCTTCAGCTCCAGGATACGCTCAACTCCAGGATACCTTCAACTCCAGGATACCCTCCACACCAGGATACCCTCAACTCCAGGACACCCCTAACTATAGGATAACCCCAACCTCAGGATTCCCTCAACTCCAGGATTCCCCTAACTCCAGGATACCCTCAACTCCAGGATACCCTCAACTCCAGGATACCCCTAACTCCAGGATACCCCCAACCCCAGGATACCCTCAACTCCAGGATACCGCTAACTCCAGGATACCCCGAAATACATGTTACCCTCAACTCCACGATACCTTCAACTCCAGGATACCCTCAACTCAAGTATACTCTCAACTCCAGGATGCCCTCATCTCCAGGATACCCCTAAGTACAGGATAGCCCCAACTCTAGGATACCTCGATCTACAGGACGCCCCCAAACCCAGGATACCCTTAACTCCACGATACCCTCAAGTCCAGGATACCTTCAACCCCAGGATACCCTCAACTTAGGAAAACCCCAACCCCAGGATACCCTCACTCCACGATACCCTCATCTCCAGGATACCCCTAAGTACAGGATAGCCCCAACTCCAGGATACCCTCAACTACAGCATAGCCTCAACTCTAGGATACCTCGATCTACAGGATGCCCCAACCCCAGGATACTCTTAACTCCAGGATACCCTCAACTCCAGGATACCGTCAACTACAAAATACCCTCAACTACAGGATGCCCCCAACCCCCAGGATACCCTCACTCCACGATACCCTCAACTCCAGGATACCCTCAACTCCAGGATACCCCTAACTCCAGGATACCCCCAACCCCAGGATACCCTCACTTCCACGATACCCTCAACTCCAGGATACCCTCAACTCCATAGAAAGACAGTAATTCCAAGGTATGGTAACGATTACCAGTCCATAAGACTTCCTACCTTGCATGTGCAAGTGTGCTAACACACAAGCATGTTCACATGGTCAGCAGCGAGTGTGCCCACCTGCATTGGATGGATCTGGGACCTTCGCCTCGTCGAGGCCTCGAAACTTCGATGAACGTCCTGGAGAAACTATTCCATATCCGAGGAAGGATTTGGCGGGGTTCATGCAGAGTTGGTGGACGATTCGGACGACGCCTGTTGAATGTAGCGATTCAACAGGTACAATATATTATGCTTCAAGATTGTATTGCAATAAATAATGCTGTCACATAGCACTATGAACATTGTTATGATTAAGATACTGCTGTACGCCTGGAGCAATGTGTTGTCTGGTGTTATCGTGTTGAAACGTCATTCCCATGCTGTTCTGGAGCAACAACGATAAAGCAGCCATTTGCATACTCTTCAGCACCTCACAGCATTCAGGGCGCCGTTTCACAAAGTCCTCGTAAGCCTCGATCTCGTAAATTTTCTCGTAGCAATCGTACCTCCTATGCTGTAACATTGACTTACGATAGTGGTAGGTCTACGAGAGCTTTGTGAAACGGGACCCAGGTTCCCACCAATCACAATCATTGGCGTCGTTGACGCAGTTGTTATTCCACCCTAGATCATTACGCCCCACCTCCAAACTGATCTCCTCTAGGACACATGACATTATGTAACGTTAACCTAGGAGTCTGTAGACACGTGTCCTTCCGTGTCTGAAGGAAACGTGACTCTTCTGCACTAATGTGTTCCACGTCGCAAATGAGGCCTGCTTCACTTGGACGTCGACATCGATGTTCTGGCGCCAACACTGGTCGTCGGAATGGGCGTCTTGCACCGATGACGTTGACGAACAGGCGAACTGTTTTCAAAGATGCAACCTCTGTTGCCAGGTATGGTACGGACTGTAAGGGCTGCTGGCTGGAATCTTTGTAACAGGTGCGAGGTTGGAATACATCGGTCTTCACTTGGGAGTAGTTAACTGGAGGGTGACCACTACGAGGACGGTCAGTCACTTGATTGTTTTGCTGAAAATATCGCCATAAGCGCCACCTGGTGGTTCTATGGACATGCAAGGTCACGCTGCGAGGTACCAGACAGAAGGATATGTGTAGCCATCTGCCATTTGCCCGAGGAGTGGGAAGACGAACTTGTTCCAGAACGATGAATAGAGGCAGTTTTCTGACTTGATATGAATGATAAGTGTCTGGTTGTCTGGCCTTTTAAAGTGAACATTGGGAGCCATTAATCTCGAATATGTCATACTTTTCGCAAGCTTCGTGCATGACAAACCACAACTGCTTGTATGTGTTTCTTCGACCATGTTAACACTTCTCGGGTTCAAATACTTAAAATCATTTACAAGATTACCAATGAAACCTTCCATATGACAATAACTATTATCTCTGAGTACATACATTTGTGTCTATTTTTAATATGCGTGATGCAAGCAGTACTTTGGGTCCAGTAAATCCTTGCTACTGAAACAGCGTACAAAGAGTTTCAGGTTTATAGTCCGTCGACCGTAATTAATGTCCTTGAGTTTCTTCTGTTACCAGGACGAGGTGGAGAGGGAACACATCGACACTTGTTCTGGAGGTTATCTACCTGACCTTTGCCCCGAGCTGTAATCCACAGAACAGCGCAATCTTGAGCGGTAATCACCCGATAAACTACCCGACACGCGCATTACACATCCAGGTAAACACTATAGATCACCTGGCATGACAGTATCCGGTGACAAAGGTCAGGTCAGGGGTCACTTCCTGCCCTCGATAAACGTCTCGATGACGGTCGTAAAGCACCATCACAATCTTTCAGATTTATAGGACGAGTTGCTTCCCCTTAGAATCCAGTTTCTGACGAAAATAGATTAATTTGTGTAAACCCCGGCTCATGCATTAATACCTTGAACGATTACTGTTTGAGTAAAGGTCTTTGACAAACGTTTTATAATGGCACGGTGATCTGTTCTGAAATCAGTATGCTCTGAATTCTCAGGGGCGGTGGGATAGCCTTGTGGTTTCAGTGTTCGCTCGTCACGCCGAAGACCCCAGTTCGATTCCATATATGGCTACAATACGTGAAGCCCATTTCTGATGTCACCCGAAGTGATATTGCTAAAATATTGCTAAAAGCTGCGTAAAACTAAACTCAATCACTCAATGTTCCCGGCACAAGCACACATACGAAATATTTTGGGTCGTACACTAGAAATAGAAATATAGAGAAATATTGTGTAACATATGGGTTATATTAGAAGGTATTAGATACCTCTGGTATCAGCCAGTTTATCGGCTATCGGAGTACCTGTGGTGTGGACGGACATGTGTGTCACCTGGGAGTCTGTCAGAGATAGACGCTGCATGTAGCCCATGTACTTCTACACAACCATTCAGCAACATAGCGAAGAAACAACTCAACAAAACAACGGCGAAACAACAGACATTCCAACACAATAACACAATAGCACCACGACGAAACTCCACAACAACGAAACAAATGAGATAACAATGCAACAAAGACGAAACAAATGAGATAACAATGCAACAATGACGAAACAATTGAGATAACAATACAACAATGACGAAACAATTGAGATAACAATGCAACAATGACGAAACAATTGAGATAACAATACAACAATGACGAAACAAATGAGATAACAATGCAACAATGACGAAACAATTGAGATAACAATACAACAATGACGAAACAATTGAGATAACAATACAACAATGACGAAACAAATGAGATAACAATACAACAATGACGAAACAATTGAGATAACAATACAACAATGACGAAACAACAATACAACAATGACGAAACAATTGAGATAACAATACAACAATGACGAAACAACAATGACGAAACAAATGAGATAAATTGAATACAAATGCAATGACGAAACAATTGAGATAACAATACAACAATGACGAAACAATTGAGATAACAATACAACAATGACGAAACAATTGAGATAACAATACAACAATGACGAAACAATTGAGATAACAATATAACAATGACGAAACAAATGAGATAACAATACAACAATGACGAAACAATTGAGATAACAATACAACAATGACGAAACAAATGAGATAACAATACAACAATGACGAAACAAATGAGATAACAATACAACAATGACGAAACAATTGAGATAACAATACAACAATGACGAAACAATTGAGATAACAATACAACAATGACGAAACAATTGAGATAACAATATAACAATGACGAAACAAATGAGATAACAATATAACAATGACGAAACAATCGACATAACAATACAACATGACGAAACAATCGACATAACAATACAACATGACGAAACAATCGACATAACAATACAACATGACGAAACAATCGACATAACAACACAACAGTACAACGACGAAACCACCGGCTACATAGGCCTTGGCATGAGAACTGGAAGAACACCTATCGATTGCGACTCAAGTGAGCAGAGTCCGCTGACTGGCTTGTTTCATGGATTAGACGAGCTGACGGGCGATGGAACTCAGGCGGTAAATGTGGAAACAGAAGGGCTTCCTAGTACACGGTAGAGTGGAGGCAGCAGAAACACTGTCACACTCTTTCATTATTACTGGTTCACCTATTCTTTCACTCACTTATTCCTTCTTTCTTCCCTCATCCATCTCTCCTTCCTTCATTCATTCATCCGTAAGAGGCGACTAACGGGACTGGATGGTCAGGCTCACTGACTTCGTTGACACACGTCATTGGTTCCCAATTGCGTAGATTGATGCTCGTGGTGTTGACCACTGGATTGTCTGCTCCAGGCTCGATTATTTACAGACCACCGCCATATAGTTGGAATATTGCTGAGTGGGGCGTAAAACTAAACTCACTCACTCATTCATCCTCACGTCATGCACTCGTTCCTTCCTCCCATCTCATTCACCCTTCCCTCGCGCACTTCTGCCGCTACTACTCACTTACTTTACACATCATGACATGGAAAAATGTAACGCAACACCCAATTCTCCATAGCATTAATATGTTACAATGACAGATAGCAACGGAACTTCTCCAAGCGTATTCTTAGAAGCAGACTTGGCACACAGTGACGCATTTAGCGCTGATAACTGTGGTCGTGTGAGGTTGACAAGTGCGGTTATTTTGAAGACTCAGGCATACAACCCTCATGAAATCACAGAAGTTGCAATAACCAAGCACAAGCTGCAGTGCCATTCCTGACCATCGTCATTGAATGTATAAGACATTGAATTTTCTGCCTCCACTCACACATTCACTGTCTCCACTCACACATTCACTGTTTCTCTCACACATTCACTGTTTCAACTCACACATTCACTGCCCCCACTCACACATTCACTGCCCCCACTCACACATTTACTGTTTCCATTCACACATTCACTGTTTCCACTCAAACATGCACTGCCCCCACTCACACATTCACTGCCCCCACTCACACATTTACTGTTTCCATTCACACATTCACTGTTTCCACTCAAACATGCACTGCCTCCACTCACACATTCACTGTTTCCACTCACACATTCACTGCCTCCACTCACACATTCACTGTTTCCACTCACACATTCACTGCCTCCACTCACACATTCACTGCCTCCACTCACACATGCACTGCCTCCACTCACACATGCGATGCCTCCACTAACACCTTCACTGTTTCCACTCACACATTCACTGTTTCCACTCACACATTCACTGCCTCCACTCACACATTCACTGTTTCTCTCACACATTCACTGTTTCCACTCACACATTCACTGCCCCCACTAACACCTTCACTGTTTCCACTCACACATTCACTGCCTCCATTCACACATTCACTGCCTCCACTCACACATTCACTGTTTCCACTCACACATTCACTGCCTCCATTCACACCTTCACTGTCCCCACTCACACCTTCACTGTTTCCACTCACACAT